CCGACCTGCGATTCCGAGCGGGAGAGTTAATAACTGTACAGGCAAGAGGATCCGTCGGCGAGCTGCGCTCCCGGGCAGCTCACAGCCGGGAGGACAGGCCCAGCGCAGGCACGTTTCCACCTCAGGAGGGCTGAAGGGAAAGGAGGATGGATGGCAGGGGCCGGGGAGCGCAAGAAATCGCACCGGCCTGAACGATCGGTAAACATAAACCGGCCGGGGATGTTTCCAGAAAGGGGGGCCGTCCGGAGGAGTCTGAGTCCAGCTTGGCGAGACGGTCTTTCCGAGCAGCCAGCGTCAGGGAGGCACCCGTGGAAAGAGCAAAGCCACGGTGTTAGTCAGGCTTAAGCCACGGCACGTCATGTTAGTCAGGCTTAGCTAGTGAATTATGTTCCTTTACACTGTAATCAATGGGCTCGTTTTGCCTGGTAATCAAATTGTTTCTCTTACTGAGTGTTAACGGATTTTAATCTATACTCCATGATTATTTTTAACATATACTTTGGGAGGGCTTGCAGAAGTCGCCAATCCTTTTTCCCCCCTCGCAGCTCTCGGGTGGGACGCTGCTCGCTCGAGGGCTCACGCCTCTTAACACCGGTTCCTCTACACCAGCATCTACTCACAGGTCATCATCAAAAACCTGGATGCTCACCCTCGGGCTGTTCACAAATTCCACAGTGGTCACACAGCGTGAACACGTCAAACAAGGGAACGTCCCTCCCCACCGTACACCGGGAATAACAATAGCTACCTTTGTCTGGGGGACAGCAGGACGTGTTCCACCCAGACCAACTACTAAGCGTAGGCTCCAAACCCTGCCTACAACAGAGAATGCTCTTATGCCTTCAAACGTGCACATGTATCTATATATTGTGGGTCCCTGCCAGGCACCGGCACTCTGAGCTTGCAGCACTGATCACTAATTAAACCTCCTTCTGCTCCGATTATGTTTCTCGGACATACACTGCCTCCAACCCAGATAGATAAAAGCATTTTCTGAGCTTCATCAATCTATAACTAGGCTAAACTGGCTGTTCAGGAATAATCAAATTGATGTGGACTCTCATGAATGGCAAATCTCATCTCACACACATGTCAAATAAAACAAATACTGAAACAGGAGGCAGAATTTAAAAAAAAAAAATCTTCAAAGTTTAGACTAATTCTTAGAAACAGGAAGCTTTTCTGTATTGTATTTGCAGACAAGTATCTTTGCATGGATGCTGCTTTAAGCTATGAACACTGCTTTGCTAGTGTTCCTGTAATTTCACCACAGTCGAAAGGCAAATTGGATCCTTTGGGGTTTGTGTTAATAATTAGACGTAGATGGAAGAATTTTTAAACACAAATTCACTGACTCAAGGAAAGCAAACTGACTTATCAAGATTGTAGTTTAGTATTACTTAGCACTAATGTTTCGGAGCCTTTGCAGTTTTCTAAAAATTCTTATCTAAGGTAGAATAGTGTTGCTCCACAAACAACTAACACAGAACAGTTTGACTAGCATTCAGATTGCTGTTTCTAACCTTAATAGTGCTGCTCCTATAAATTACAAAACAACTTTATGAGCAGGTATGAGGTGTACATTGATATTCCTGTTTCACTGCATTAACTTTTAGTAATGACCATTGCAAATAAACAACATTTTCTCTTCTAGCTGAAATAAAGTTCCACTGCTTTCCAGGCAACACTGAGCTGTATTTTGGTATAGGATTTGGGGTTTTTAATACACATGTAATGCTGGTTGGAATTGTGACAAAGGGATTACAATTTTGCTGCTGGGAGAGAAAAAAAGGCCTAATTCTTTACTGTAATCATCCAGCCTGGCTTACAGAATACAGTAAGAAATTACCACATCGACATTTAAAAAAACAAAACCAAACTTCTTTAAAACTGGCAAGTTAAGAATATGTGGAACTTCTGTGATACAGACACGAGACGTGGCCATGTAGTGCACAGCCAAGTTCCAAAGAATAACTCCATTAAATCTGCAGGCATCTTTTCTTCTGTTTGTGATTAATTTTTTCCCTACCCCCACGGGAAACTAACGGGACACCTCTTTAGTTATTAGAAGATATTCAAAACTATATTACAGTATCAGTATGTGAATATAGGACAGATTTAGATGACAACATTTTACATCTTGGTAAAATACAATCTCCCCAAAAAAGAAAAGTTATTAGAATACATTATCATCAAGCCTGGTCATCCAGGTCCTGTTTGCAACTCTGCTGCTGGTTTGAAGTGGGACTTTTAGCAAAATAGTTACATCTGTTTCCCCATTTGTAAGTTGGGGGCTACCAGTACTTCTCTTCCTCATACAACTGAGGACGCACAGGATCAAGGTAAGCTCTGGTGCAGAAGCAGAGAGACATCCAGTGAAGACAGTTACATCACGGATTAACTCTTCTGTTTGTAAAGTGCATGGTATAATTGGCATGTACCAAAAGGAAAAATGGACTAAAAATGAGCCCTTTGAAAGAGATACAGAGTGAGAGCAGAATGTCTTGCACTAAGGTTATGTATTTAACAGTTTTACATGAAATATTTATATATAAAAACTTTGTTAAGTGCTTTTCTCCAATTTAAAAATCTAAAGAATTCAAAAATAAGGCATTCAATATTTGAAAAAGTACAGATTTACAAAATGTGTATATTCTGTCATGAAAACTCCACACCAACATTATACACTTGGAAAAAAAATACAAACAGGATATATTACAAATTTATGTAGCAATAACTTAGTTCATACCATGCAATAAAAAGTACGTTAATCAAGATACACAAGCTTTTAAGTTTCCTAAACTGGAGGGCTTAATTTTGTTTGCAAATGAGTTTTTATGCAAATTATTAGAACTGTGGCACTTGAAATTTCTGGTAGCCTTTCTATTGAGAGTTAAATTGTACATAATGATTATGAGGATGGAGAGTAACAAAGCAGCTGTTACGAATCATTCCAACTTTGTTCGACAATAGCTGAAACTCTTTTCTCATATTCACGTTTGTTCTCCTGATAGAGTTGTGCCGCCTGACTGTTTGCTGGACTGTTTGGATTAGGTTCATCAAGCAGAGACTGTAAAAAGGGGAAAACAGAACATGAGACAAACCAACACATTTTAAATCAGGGAAAAATCAACTTACAGCTTTCAAATCACATGTGTTTCAGGAGGCAGACATGACTCAGAAGAGCCCAATTGGAAAAAAAACGGTTAAAGTCATGGTTGGGCATCCATAATTACACTACTGAACCTCAAATTATACACTGCATAAGCATTAGCACTGTATACACTTCTAGATTCACAAACCTAACAGATACATGGTCATTTGTGCCAGTTAGCAGTATGATGCTAACTGATTATTTGGCAATTACACTACTATTGTCATTCAGGACTAAAGAGGGGCTTAAGATGCCTCCTACAAAACTTCACTGTAGAAAAATAAAAACAATCACACAGGAGAAAAGAAAATGTACATTTTTGCTGTGCCAGGCCACTCTTACTTATTCCAAGTGAAGTAGGTTTCAGCAGTATTGTCTCCTTGAGGACTTCATAGGGCAAGGCTTCACAATAAAGGTTAGTGTTTCAAACACTAGGCAAATTTCCACACCTGATGTCCTATCTTGACTAAAAACAGTTAAAGAGGAATCCAAATCAGTAACTATCTTCCTGTAAAAAAAGTCTAATGGCAGTTTTGTAGCTCAAAATTAGTAATTACATAGGTCAGCACCTTAGCCTTTATTTGATCTAAAAAGCTACTGCTTAGCTCACAAGTATTTGAAGTCCCCCTTGATACAGATACCTGCTAGCCACATCACTGAGCTGTGTATTCTGGAATAGAGACCAACAACAACGTAATTATTTGCTAAAATAGATGTAAAGTTACCTGAATTGAAGTTAAAATAGATGAAACATCGTATGTTGGACTCCAGCGATTCTGAAGAATATCTAAACATATGCTACCATCCGCATAAACTGTAAATACAACATAGAAATCATTTAGAAACAATCAGATTTATTTTATAGTTTGTTCATTACAAACTGTTCAAGGCAGAGTTACTCTTCCAATTCAGACTGTGCTTAAATGAATGCTTTAGGAAAGAGGACAGCAGTTACATCTCACATTTTTCTGTAGTCTGGCATCTTGTATTTTGAAGGAGATATATTACTGGAAGTAACAGAACACTTAAGAGGAAAAGAAGGAAGGTGTAAAGGTTACAGCATTAGCACAGGAACTGGCAGACTTGGTTTGCTCCTCTTGTGTGACTGGCCCAGATACACACAGAGGGGAGGCCTCCCAGAGAGCAGCGAGACACGTACTGCAGGAGTGGAATCCACTGCACCAGCCAGGCATCTCACAGTCTGAATGGACTCACGCATGAATGGAGGGAGTTCTTGCCCCGTTTTCGCACACTCTACACTCACTACGAGAGACACTGAGACAAACAATAGAAAATACTGAAAAGCATGCCTGAAATCCTACTTCTGTCTGGATAACTATCAGTAGTCTTTAATATAAAAGTCTGTATGAAACGGAGATTGGCCAAACGCCTACACCCTGGTCTTCTAGCTTGTTCATGCCAGTGAAAAGCAACAAATTACAAAAACCCTGTCAGAGGCATACTGGCCTGCATGTTACATGACGGATGAATGCTTAGACAGCACTGTCTAAAAAGTCACAGAAATGAAGCCAAGGTCGCCTCTGTTCAAGGAGGGCTCAAGCTACAAGAAATGCTGTAATGGGCTCATGCTTCAACCCTCAAATTGAATCTATCCCCCCCTTTGCTACAGAGGTGCTTGGAAAAGCAAAAGGCACAGTTTGTGTTTTCTGCATGCAAGAATAACTGGATAAAACCTATCAAGTGCTGGAGCAGGAACCAGCAGGCACTCTCTCATAATGCTGCCGTCATCACTGAGTTAGGGTCAGCCTCCTCCTCTGCGCTCCCCTATGACTGTGCTAGAACTGGTTGGTACAGTGAACCAAACGAAGGCATGGGCTTGGCTGAAATCTCAGCGGACAGAAATAAGTAACGTTTGGCTCGACCAGTTCCCCACTCCAATTCACGATGTGGCTGCACATACATGATTGCTGTTAAATGGAAGGGGGCAGGAATCTGCAACCAGAATTGCCTCTTTAAGCCAACCTAAGTGCAGCTGCTGCTGAAAATGCTCACAGGGTTTGCTGCTAAAGCTATATATTGATTAGAAAGAGGCAGATAGCTGCTTCTTAATAGCATCATAATTCTTAATTTTTCATCAAGCAGTTGCTGTCCTAGACATCTACTTAGGAAGTGGCAATGAAGAGAGATGGAGAGCTGTTAAGCATTCTGGAGCTTGGCAGAATACATGACCACACCATAATATTTAATGGGTATATGGCTAAATAAAAATGATTTACTCACCATTTGGATGGAACATTTTTGATAAAAACCTTACAGTTGGAGGCTTATTTGGATATTCTTCTGAAAATTCTATTACTAGTTTAAAAGTACCTGTCCAAACACACATAAATACAATCAGATAACTAACAATAAAAGAACACCTCCAAGAACATATATAACATAAGTTAATTTATGTGCTCCATGATCAGTATTTCTTCTCACCATTATATAAACAAGCAACACTGAGCCTGATTTCTTTTCATATATTCCAAGTGATAATGGAACTATGGAACTACTACTTACTGGTAGTAATAAAACCAGCAGCAGCAGCTAGGTAGAGGCTTGGAGACTCGCCGTGTACATGGCAAAGGCAGCTAGACCCAACATCAATTATCCCACTGCCCTCCCCTTTTTCTGTGACCCAACATGCCGGTTCCACGGACTTTGGTGACTTTAAGGCGTTTCATTAAGAAGGCACTGTGGTGCCAGCAAAGAAACACTGGAATTTTACAACCAGCAATCTCAGTCTTTGGAGCTCATGACTGATTCACTGAAAACCTTTATTATGGATCAGCGAATAATTTACTGTAACTCCTCCAACCCAATACAGAGAAAAACCCATCTGCTGCCGATTACTGCAATAATACTATAATTATTAAACTCATTATTCCTCATATGCCTCAGGGAGGTTCATTACACACCAACTTTCATGTTTATGTACAACTTTGGTATTCCCTCCCCCTCACCGAGTTCTATATTCAGAACAATTCAAGATTTTTCACCTGTTCTTCATTAGGAGAACAGAGATGAATCAAACATGCCACAAAGACGAAACCAGAAAAGCACACTGTCTTGTTGAGCTTAGCTATGGAGATGTGAAAACACATCTGGCAGCATTAGACCAACCTAAAAAAGACCAACCACTAAAAGCTCTAGTGTATGTGTATAAACAAGTCTTGATATAAGCATTGCTTCGTAGCTTTCTAACTAACCATCAACCACTATGACAAGACACTGCTTACATCAAAATACATATTTTTATAGCCAACAAGACCTTACTCCCTCACTTGCTTGCTTAGTTTGTTCCAAATTACATGCAGATAACATCTATTATTTTTGCAAAGCAGAACAATGTTAATACTGGCAATATTTGTAAGAATGACAGGGGATATAAAAGTTAGCGGCTTACCATCTTCAAAAGGTGTCCCTTCTGGCCTGAAAGGTTTTAAAAATAAACTCCAGTTAAAAATTATTATTACCTACTTCTAAACAGGCACAATAAATTGATATCTTCTTCCTCATCCTCCCGAAGATATAGGAAGAGGCAGTAATTTAAATATTTAGAGAAGTCTCCAGAGGCAACCTCTGGGAGCTTTGTCATATCTAAGACACTTTCCCATAGTCAAGCTGCTAGTTGAGATATCTACTTTATCATCATCCCAAACAATACATATGCCATTACGTGACTAGATTGGAATTAATGAGCAAATTACTAGCAAGCATACTTCAGTTTTATGAAAGGATACTAAGCCAGTTCCTGTTCTGTAAGATATGTAATGTAACTTCCTAGACAGAACCTGTACCTCGTTCTACTGGGAATCAATCCAATACATCTGGATTTAATGGCCGAGAACATGCGGCTCTTATGTACTTTAAAGAGGAAGCCTGCTTTTTCATAATCCAACTCCTACACATTCTAACCCATTTATTAAGCCATACGCAAGCTTTATTCAACAAAAAAGATGAACCAATTTTAAATTTTTCTTTCCTACGCATTCTATATTACCCCCCAAAACAGATTTTTACCGCAACAGCACATTTAGTCATTTTTCTAAGTTTCCTGACTTTATGTACATAAAAGAAGAGAATAATTGTAAAAACAAAACCCAGGTTTTGTTATATTTAGCCCTTTGATATAGAATTTTATAGTGATCAAAAACTCTTACCCAAATATAACTGCATTCCATTGCATTATATTATTCTCAGATGGTGCACCACTGACACCCACAGGAGGGTCTTCTTGCAATCTAAGAATTACAAATATAGAATGACAAGCCTTATATAAATGAAATACTTCCACCTGCAAGTATAATTTAACAGTAATATCCAGATTTTGTAAATTTTTTCTCATTCCAAATCAGAGAATACACAAAGCATTACGTGCAGATTATCAATACTCCAAAAGACAAACCTACGAGAAAACGCACATCAAGCTTTTCTCATTTATTACCTCAACACACTACAACGGCCGAACAAGTTAGATTAAGTGTGCAGGGAGCAAAGCATTAACTGTAAGAACAATTTAAAGCACCACGTACAGCTGGGATTTACAGTACTACATAGTGAACTATGAAAGAGCAATTGCTGCTGGCTGCCACAATGAAGAAGAGAACAAATTACAGCCACAAACAGGAGCTGAAAACCAGTCAGTGACACTTACACAGCACACTTGCTGGGACTAAGTGCAAGGGACTGTCAGTGGAGCTTTTCCTGCGTTCCCAGATCCGTGCGCGCGACGCGGCTAAATTTGGTATAAGCCTATTTTGACTGGCAAGCTGATTGCTTCAAAAGGGAGTGTGTGCTGCTCCCTCTTACCAGTTCAACAAATGTGTTTATCTCTAAAGTAATCATGGAAGTATTTTAAATTCTTTTCAGTTCCTTAGTCCTTGGACTATTGAAAAGCATGTTACTTACTGAAAGCCACATAAACTTGGACCAGACGGAAATATATATCGCAGCCAAAGAACAGCATCCAGATACTCTCCTTCTGCCCATCCTTATGTATAGCAACGTTTCTGCTCAAGGGTCACATAAGACCCTGAACAACATAAACCAGAAAGCCCCAATCGCCTGATGAGCAATTTGCCTGATCAAACCCCTTCAGTGTCAGCTCCTACCCACCCTGCCTATTCAGCCTCTTCAGTTACGCAAGAATAAAGAAAACGCAGTGACTGCCCCTGCTTCAAAGGCAATTCTTTAGCGTTAACATGAGGTTTAACCACATCACAGTACACTTATGAACAAGTTGCCATCAAAAGCCCTGCAGACCAAGGGACAAATTCTAACTAAATGTCAGTGTGTAAATGCAGATTTATTCAGAGCTGACACTGGTATACAGCCAGTAACTTCTGCACTTGCACTGCCTAATAAAACTGCACGTGTGCATAGAAGCTGAGCAATGGTGTTGCCCTACAGAGACAGCCCAGAAGCAGGGCTCGCTCCGTTTGCACCTGAGATCGCCTCTGAACTCTGTATTTACATCCTTGCTCTCTGAGCACACGCAGTTCAGGCAGCTTAGTATCAACAGCATAAACCACCTACTATTTTGGTCAGGGAGAGCAGGAACAGGACTTCTGCCTATAGGACAGCCAGGCTGCATGCCAACAATAATGCCTAAGCATTCAGCCTGACCCATGCTTTCAATTTTAGATCAATTTAAAAGTTCATGTGCACCCTACTGTCAAAGGGTCTAAATACAGAAAGGTTGTGGCAAGGACTGGAAATTAGACTAATCCAAAAAGCACCTGGAAATCTTAAACAGCTAGGGAAAATGTAGTATCTGTAACACCTTTTTAACAGCAAAACCAAAAAAAAGTAATTAACTTATTTTTCTGTTTGTTTAGTCAAACAAATTAGAGGAGATACAAAATTTGTTGAACTGTTCTCTCTTCACTGCTCTTGACAATCACAGTATGCAAAAGGAATTTATATTTAACGAAGTGAATCAGAGTTCACAGCACACAGTCTGCTTTTTCAGTATGAGGTACAAGTAACATAAGGCTAAACAAAAATACAACTTATGGTATGAAAGAGAAGAGTAAAAAAACTGACACGAAAAAGTTGCGTAAGTTTTGGGGTATTAAAGTTGTCATATATTTGATAAATAAATTTTATTTACTTTGTGTTTATTTGGTTATACTCTTCCACAGCTTTAAAGTCTTCTCTCCACCTTAAATTTCAAAATTATTAAACCAGTCCTTCTAAGATTATAAAACCATAAAAAACATGTCTGATTGCAATCCTGAAAAATTGCTTAGTTCCTCAGCCTGAAAAAAATCACTGGTTCATGTCATCTGTGTAACCGAATACAATAAAAAAGACTGAATATCCTGTTTTGATTTGAACAGGAATCAATCAACACCCACTTAGCAAACACCAACACCCAAGTACAACAGAAGAGGTAGGCTCCACATCTCAAAAAAGTCCAACTTTTTGTAGATTCACCAATCAGGCTTTTACCACTGTAGCTTTACATGCAGTCACGTAAAGCAACTACAATACGCGTCAACTGCTTACTGATGTATTTTCAGGTAGTGGTATAACATAGCTACGCTAAAAAAAGAGACGCTATCAAAGCTGACTCACCTCCAACAACTTATGAACGACTCCAGTCCAAAGAAATCATACGACATATTGCAAAAGAACCCCCCACCTTTTTCCACACTCTCTGTTGTAAGTGTGTTTACATGTCAGACTGGAAATAAATTATTCTAGAGCCTGTGGTTCAGTCATTAACATTTAAAAGAGTGCAACTAATAACTGCTTCTTTAGCAGTTTGTATATATTATACAAAAGATTCCTCATGATTGAAAACTTTAGACAGAGTAGCATGCACATAAAAACATTAAAGGACATTTTGTTTTTTATTACATACAGACAAATGAAGCGTTTTGCTAATTCTTTGTGCTTCGTTTCTAGATGTCCACCCCGAATACTCATTTTCAGACAGACCGTCAACCCAACAAGCCTCAAACACATCTAAAGTCTGCCTGGTCTCTTCACAAAACCGGGACAAGCACCTTCCGTATTCAAAAGCCCGTGCGAGGAGGCGGGGGTGCGGGACGCACGGCACAAACATTCAGCCTCAGCCAGCTCCGCACCGCCGGGCCCTGCTAGGGCAAGGGTCCCTGCGAGGTCCTCACACCTAACCCCAACGGCCGACAGCCCACCGCCACCAGCGCACC